GAATCGGAAATGTCACCTAGCAGTGAAAAACGATCGATTTATAACAGATATCATGCGTCTGGGTGCATGCGTGCGTGCATACATCATATTCCGATTACAACCTTATAGTATAATAATCGCTATATAAACATATATATATTATATCAAGAGCGTATAAAGAAGGAGAGCGTACAACGGTGAAATGGTGAAACCATGTTGAGCTAGTTAATCGAATTAAGAAACTTTGCCCGTTTTATTTTGATGATTATGGGGTATTGATCAACTGTCCTACCTGTTAATATAAAACAAACCGCTTGTCCTTACGATGCTCCTACGGCTGAGATAATGAGCGGTGAAATCTGTATTTTCGCCGAAAACCGACCGCGAGATCAGTGTTACTGCGACTGTCTCTCGCTTTGTGGCCAGTGTATTGCTTCCAGTCGCCGTGTGTAGCGCCATGGTAGCGCTGACTCACGTCAGTACTACAGAGATTACCTACACAATACACATCCAGCGTGAGGTGGGCACAGGTGGGGTCATCACTATGGCAATCAATAAACACGTATCTCATTTTCATTTGTCAATCATTTGACGGAAACAGCGCGAGGTTCTCCGAAGTTATTCAAAGCGAGAGACAGTCGCAGTAAACACTGATCTCGAGTCGGTTTTCGGCAAAATACCAGATTTTCACCGCTCATTAGCTCGGCGTAGGGGCCATCGCTAAAGACGTGCGGTTTGTTCTATATTAACAAGATAGGACAGCTGATCAATAATACTGCAAAGAATCGTCAAAATAAAACATGGAAAGTTTATTAATTCGACTAATACTGCAACATGTGTTTCAGCATTTCACCGTTGTACGCTCTGCATTCTTTATAAGCTCTGATAAGTATATAATATAACTAGAGCACTCGAGAGACAGACCTCGCCAAGGCAGCTGAATTCTCTCAATGTGATTTTTTTTTATTAATTACTTAATTAATTAATTAAATAATTAATTGGATCCGGATTAGTGCGAGCCGTGCAGGTGGGGGAGGACTGTGGTTGCCCCTTAGCCTGTGTTGCGTGTTTGTAAAGTCTACACGCCAGCGCACCTAGCGGAAAGTGAACTGAAACGTGCATGGTAACCACAAACACACAACAACCCAACACTCAAAACTCGCCGCGTGAAACAACCCCGCCTGCCCTGGCGGAGGTAATAATCGCTACTCGTATGCCCGTTACCCCGATACTAACGTGGCATGCAGGTAACTGGCCTAGACTATCATACAATCCGCAGTCTATCGGTATCCAAATCATATCGTTATCATCCGTGTATCCCAATCATATCATCGCAAGATTTGCAAACAAGCATAGAGAGTCTATAAGTTATGCGTATGCTGTAGATATAGGTTAACTTTTAGGGTATTCTCGCAGAGGTATTTTGCGATATCATACTTTTGTTTTATCCTGATCAGGAAAACATAGTAAACAGTACATAGACATTTTTATATGTGTTTCTTCAAGATACATATATACAAGGTCCGCCCATCGCGGTTGGAATCAAAAATGCGTAATCAAACAAACGGTATAGCGCCTGATGCAATATACTAAATTGCAACTCACATCTATCGTGCCCTCGCCTGCTTCGCGTCAGATAGTATGCTAGAGAGACGGGTAAAAGAAGAGCGTGTGTGCGCCGCGCATTGTGTGAGAGAGAGAGAGAGAGAGAGAGAGAGAGAGAGAGAGAGAGAGAGAGAGACAGAGAGCGAGAGCGAGAGAGAGCATTATACATGGTTAATCGTGCTGGCTCGTCACCTGCGTGGACCCGCCCCAGCTTCCGCGTGTTACAGACGGACGACTAGGTGCATGTCCGATGTCTGTCTACCTCGGCGCTAGAACGTTTAATCGTAGCCGCTGATGGTACGGTAAGGTTACACACCTACGCCACTAGACGCATCTGCCTACAGCCGGTTAAACAACGGACAAACAGCACCGGAGAAATTGCTAAAGGTTCAATATTTACATAGCGTATATGTAGTGGTTTTTGCGCAGCCGGCGATCCAGTCAATAGCATAATGAGACCAAAAGCCAATAATACTGTAATATATAAACATATAAACTACATGAAGGGGTTATATGCTCTTGAAGATGCCAGTATATATGATAGTATTAAGATAGTATGCGGGTGTATACGAATATGAATGTATATATATATATATATATAGATATATATAATATTTATATATGCATGCGCGCGCTCTCACACAGGAGCATAGGATTATCAAATACTATGCTGCATAGACATGTAGGCCTATGCTTGACTGTGTGACCTTCTTGTCGTGAGAAATGTCTGCAATATGGGAATCTACCTCTTAAAACCCACGTGGATAGTTACAGGGCGCTATATCACTAGCGCAGATTTGTATGCACCTTATATGGAGTAAAGCGCATCGTTTTTGTGTTTTGTCAATGTTTTATCGTCGTATGGGTTATATGGCCGGGTCAAAGTGCAACTATCGTCCACCCTATCAACCCGGTGTTTGGACAGATACCAAGGAGTGGCGCATAGATGACTACATTATATTACACTCACATACACACACGCGTACACCTACACGTGCACACACGCACACACACACACACACACACACACACACACACGCACACACACACACACACGCGCGCGCGCACGCACGCAAACGCACGCACGCACGCACGCACGCACGCACACACACACGCATGCATGCACGCACGCACGCACACACACACACACACACACACACACACACACACACACACACACACACACACACTTGCGTCTGTACTTACGCACATGCACTTGGAACGTCTCAATAAAATAAAAAATATGTAAACACGAAATGTATTTACTACCAAAGTCTTAATGTTTCTCTACTGTATTTCGCCTATTATTGCCGATAACTTGCTGTAAATGCCGTTCAAATGCTCATCTGCAACACACAAGTACACCGCACGCCCGTCCTGCGCACAAACAACATGAATAAGAGAGAACTCTTTTTATTGAGACGCTCCAAGTGCCTGTGTACTTACGTACCTGATATGATCGGCGTGCAAAGAATAATTTTGATGTCACCCACGTGCGCGTGCGCGGGCGGTTGTCGCTGTCGCCGTGTGTCGCACTCAGTGTCTGTCGCCTCGGCGCGTAGGTACAGATAGACTGCGTTCCCGTATGCGGGCAGCGTTATCGCCCGCCCCTGTCTACCGTATCGGCTCCGTATACACCGTATCGGCTCCGTCCACCTAGCTCACAACAATCACTTCATTTGTGACAATTTGCTCTCGGCTTGCTCGTTTACGCAGCTGGCATCCGCGGCTTTTGTTCTTAAATTCCACACACAGGTCGCTCTCGCTAATCAGGTCCGACGCTCGTCTCCCCGTGACGGACAGAGCAGACGAGAGCAGTCGAGAGCAGAAGAACTATCGAGCGAGGGTGAGCAGAGTCGCTGCTGGACACTGATTGCTACCAATCTGCCTGCTCGGCTGCAGTCGAGCGTGCGGAAGCAATCGCAGCGCCCCCTCGCGCACGATTCGCTTCGGTACACATCGCCCCCGCCCGCCCGTTGCGCAGTTTCTTATCTGATCCTCGAGTCGACGTTAGACGAAGATTACTAGCAGCGTCAGCGGTAAAAACCAGTCGTACTAACCTCCTCGCAGGTTAATAGGCAGACATGTCATCATCCATGCGAGGGCGGTAATACCTGATCCCCCCCCCCCGGTTGTCGCGGCCGGTTGCTCACGAAAAGAAGACTAAAGACACTGTTTAATTCATTCGATAGCCACTGGCGCGGATTTTTTTTCGTTTCGTTGAGTTCGGGGATTATTGCCGAAACAAGATGCACACGCGGCTTGGCGTTTCACAAGGCCAGAGTTTCAACTCTGACTTCGGGAAAAGATACAAAGACGCTGCGATAAAATGTAGCGAGATTTAAGCGCGGGGAAATCTGACATGCATAAATCTGACGGTGTCTATATATATTACCATATTACGTCGCGGAAAGTTTTGCGGTTATTTATATTATTTAAGAAAACTCCCACGCCGCTGTGAGCACACCTTCGCGGCAGATGTTACATGCCTGCATATAGAGGTGAAATGATCATTCATCCCAACGTCATGTGAACATCTGCCATGGGGCCAGGGGAAAATAACAAACCAGCGGTCAAGCGATGATAAGGTCAGCCGAGCGAACGCCGCCATCTTTGAATTTCTCCTCGATTTTTTAAAATGTGTTTATTTAGACTATTATCAATGTATGCATCATAAACAATATACACATAATTTAAATATACAGCTAGAATACCACACCAAGGATAAACACACCATAAGTATTCGTGTAAATTATTGTGAAAAGCGTAATTATTTCAATTGTGGTCCTTGAAATCCGTCATCTATTCTCATCTCTCATTAGTAATCTAGCGACACGACACATTGATTCAATCCGCGCAAAGTTCTCATTTACACGCTCCACGAATACAACTCGCCAGCGCGCGCGTTGACTATAGATGGAACATTGACCGGGTGCGGAGAGCAGGTTTCTTCTATACGAGCGGCTAGAAGACTCGTGTGGGCACGTGCTACTCAGCTGGGTGCATGTCCTATACGTCGTCGTTAAAGCAATGAGGGTGGAGCGTTGAAGCCGACCACTCTAACAGAAATAACTTTTATTTTCATGGCGCTAGCAGAACCGCTATAACGGCAAGCTGGGGACGAGGCAACCCATCACATTGGAAGCAATGTTAGAGGCTCAAGGTTAGGATTAACTAAAGGTTAGGCTAAAGTCACGGTTAGGGTAATAGGTTAGGGTTATATAGTTTTAGTCAGAGTTAAAGGTAAAATTTGGGTTAGGATTAGGGGGTGAGGGTTTGGTAACATTGTTGTTCTATGCACGCGATGATCATACTGAGCCTCTGTAACCGCGCCACACTCCGCATGGCGATGACGTGATGCCATACGCGTGTCGTCGGCGCACGACTCTATATCTCTGTTCATACCGACTTACGTAACAAAGCGCTACATAATGATTAACGGTTGCATGGCTACCGGCTGTCGAACTATATCGCTGCTTCGCCACATCTCCGACGCAGCGAGCGTCTGCGAGAAGAAATATCGGAAACATAGCAGACGATGTTTATGGCTTTAGTTAGAAACAGCAGCAGCAGCAGCAGCAGCAGCAGTAGCAGCAGCAGTAGTAGTAGTAGCCGCAGCAGTAGTAGTAGTAGTAGCATCAGCAGCAGCAGCAGCAGCAGTAGTAGCAGCAGTAGAAGCAGTAGCAACAGCAGCAGCACCAGCAGTAGTAGTAGCAGCAATAGCAGCAGTAGCAGTAGCAGCAACAACAGCAGCAGCAGCAGCAGTAGCAGTAGCAGCAGTAGCAGTAGCAACAGCAGTAGCAGCAGTAGCAGGAGCAACAGCAGCAGCAGTAGTAGCAACAGCAGCAGTAGTAGTAGTAGAAGCAGTAGTAGTAGTAGTAGTAATAGTAGTAGTACTAGTAGTAGTAGCACCCCCTAATATGCCGTCACTCGTTGAGTGAAAGCTCTAGTATAGCTTGTTTTACGGGGATGCGCGCGTGTGACGTCACAGCCGCCGCTTTGATGTCAGCCGCGCTCATGAAGACTTGCCATCGTCGGCGCCTTCATGACGATCACGTGTTTCCGATCGACGTTGGCGCTACCGCTCCGCCACCGTCGGCTCGGTGTCGGCATTTAGCGGCGACAAACGGAGCGATTATCAGTGTCACTCTGATAATACTTATATATATACATATACATATATAATATATATATATGTCTTCAGGTGTGCAAATTACATGTGGATTTTACACGCACACAACACGTGCGCGCAAGCACGCAGGTATACGAACAAATAAATCCCGTTTACACGCAGGTACGCAAGCACGAACACACGCACATACACCCCCAAAGTCTAATAACATGTCGAAGCGCGATCGCATGGAATCGAAAATATCACCTAGCAGTGAAAAACGATCGATTTATGACAGATATCATGCGTCTGTGTGCATGCGTGCGTGCATACATCATATTCCGGTTACAACCTTATAGTATAATAATCGCTATATAACATATATATATTATATCAAGAGCGTATAAAGAAGGAGAGCGTACAACGGTGAAATGGTGAAACCATGTTGCAGTATTAATCGAATTAAGAAACTTTGCCCGTTTTATTTTGATGATTATGGGGTATTGATCAACTGTCCTACCCTGTTAATATAAAACAAACCGCTTGTCCTTACGATGCTCCTACGCTGAGATAATGAGCGGTGAAAATCTGGTATTTTCGCCGAAAACCGACCCGAGATCAGTGTTTACTGCGACTGTCTCTCGCTTTGTGGCCAGTGTATTGCTTCCAGTCGCCGCTGTGTAGCGCCATGGTAGCGCTGACTCACGTCAGTACTACAGAGATTACTACACAATACACATCCAGCGTGAGGTGGGCACAGGTGGGGGTCATCACTATGGCAATCAATAACAGACGTCATTCATTCCATTTGTCAATCATTGACGGAAACACGCGAGGTTTCCCGAAGTTATCTCAAAGCGAGAGACAGTCGCAGTAAACACTGATCTCGAGTCGGTTTTTTGGCAAAAATACCAGATTTTCACCGCTCATTAGCTCGGCGTAGGGGCATCGTAAAGACGTGCGGTTTGTTCTATATTAACAAGATAGGACAGCTGATCAATAATACTGCAAAGAATCGTCAAAATAAAACATGGAAAGTTTATTAATTCGACTAATACTGCAACATGGTTTCAGCATTTCACCGTTGTACGCTCTCATTCTTTATAAGCTCTTGATAATATATATATATAACTAGAGCACTCGGAGAGCACAGACCTCCGCCAAGGCAGCTGAATTCTCTCAATGTGATTTTTTTTATTAATTAATTAATTAATTAATTAAATAATTAATTGGATCCGGATTAGTGCGAAGCGTGCAGGTGGGGGAGGACTGTGGTTGCCCTTAGCCTGTTGGTTGCGGTTTGTATAGTCTACAGCCAGCCCTAGCGAAGTGACTGAAAACGTGCATGGTAACAGCACAAACCACAAACCAACACTCAAAAACTCGCCGGTGAAAACAACCCCCGCCATTGCCCCTTGGTCGGAGTAATAATCGTACTCGCTATGCCCCGACCCGTACTAACGTGGGCATGCAGGGTAACTGCATAACATATCATATCAATCCGCAGTCTATCGGCTACAAATCAATATCGTTATCGATCCGTTATCCCAATCCCTATGCATCGCATATTTGCAAAACAGCATAGGAGTCCTATAAGTTTGTGGCGGTATGCTGTAATAGTCTAGGTAATTTTAGGGTTAGTTTCCTGCAGATGCGTATTGCGTAATATCATAACTTTTGTTTTATCCTAATCAGGAAAACCATAGTAAACATACATAGACATTTATATCTATGTGTTCTTCCAAGATACATTATTATACACGGTCCGCGCCATCGCGGTTTGGAATCAAAAATGCGTAATCAAACAAAACGGTATAGCGCCTGATGCAATATACAAAATTGTGCATCACATCTTCGTGCCCAGTCGCCTGCTTCGCGTCAGATAGTATGCGAGAGTAGACGGGGGTAAAAAGAAAGAGGCGCTGTGTGCGCGCGCATGTGGTGTGTACCGTGCGGTGTGTGTGTGTGGGGGGGGGCAAGCCTAAGTGGGGAGAGAGTGAGAGAGCGGGAGAGAAGAATGAAGATATAGGGTGGGAGGAGAGAGAGATAGAGAGAAAGAAGGGGGAGGAGCGCGAGAGGGTTGATAGAATAAAAAGATAGATAGAGGTAGGCGGAAAGGCAAGGAGGCGAAGAGAAACAGAAACAGGCAGAGAGAGAAGAGGGGGAGGAAAGAATATATAGAGTGTGTGAGGTAGAAGAGAGAGAGAGAGAGAGAGAGAGAGAGAGCGAGAAGAGAGATGAGAGAGAGGGCGAGAGAGCGAGGGAGAGCGCGAGAGAGCGAGAGCGGCGAGAGAGAGAGAGAGAGAGAGAGAGAGAGAGAGAGAGAGCGAGAGAGCGAGAGAGAGAAAGAGAAAAGAGTGAGAGAAGAGAGGAGAGGGAGAGAGAGAGGAGAGAAAGAGAGCGAGAGAGAGAGAGAGAGAGAGAGAGAGAAAGAGAGAGAGAGAGAGAGAAGAAGAGAGAGCGAAGAAGAGAGAGAGAAATGAGAGAGAGAGAGAGAGAGAGAGAGGAGAGAGAGAGAGAGAGAGAAAGCAGGAAAAAAAGAGAGAGAGAGAGAGAGAGAGCGAGAGAGAGAGAGAGAGAGAGAGAGAGAGGAGAGAGAGAGAGAGAGAGCAGAGC